CAGCCTGAACTGCACAGTGAGACCCTGTCTCAAAAACTAAAATAATCGTTCAAAAAATTATTAATTATAACATACATTTATTAGCAGAGCCAAGAACAAAAACCAAATGACTAACTCAAAACACGCAGAGAGAGCATTTGACAAAGTCCCAAACCCATTCATGATAAAAACCTCACAGAATATTGTAATAGATATTGTTTATCTCAATCTGATAGAAGTCATCAATGAGAGCCTGTGATGGCAGATGCAACAAGAGACCATGACAGGGGTTGAGGATGGGAACAAGCAAGTTGTATTCCCCCACAGAGTACAGTATTCTACAATAGCCAACTGAGGAGTGTTGACCTCAGCTGGGCTTTGTAGTGGGTTTGCACATGTTTGCAATCAACCATGATAACCACATTGCTTCATTTTAAAGTTTTACAAAAAGCCACAAGATTAATATTAGCCAGGTTTATGCATTTTTAATTCAATTTTAATTTGCTTTGTTTCTGCCTTCTCAGAAAATAAATCTTTATATCTATCTATTTATTAAGAAAATACAAAGCAATAGTAAACAACACTAGAGATGGTATAGAATTTCACTAAACAAACAATAGAAATTCAACAATTATACTGCATATTGTTGTGCTCAAATTAATTGTTTAGAATCCCAGATACAAGCCTGTAAGATTGGTCAACACATTATAAAATATTAATCATGACACAGAAAAAATTAAGCATTAACTCAACCTTTCGATGGAGCAGTAAATATCAGCAGGACAATTACCAAGCTATCCTGTGTCTATGCACAAATCTTTCACTTTCCTTCCTTTCATTCTTTTCTCCATTCCTGCATGCCAGTGTTCCTTCCTGTTGAACAGATTCTTTCCTTTCACAGCATCTATTGTGCAGTTCAGATTTTCTTTATTCTTTCAAGTTCTTATACTAGAAAGACAATCTGATGTTTGTATATCTAATTTAATTCATTTAAGAAAATATTCTCTAGTTACATCCATTTACTTATGAAAGCCTTGAGTTAATATTTTTTTTATAACTGAGCAATACTTCATTGTGTAAAAAATATTGCATTTTTTAATCCATTCCTCAGTTGAGCATTTGGGTTGTTTCCAATATTCAGATATGACCAATTGCACTGTAATAAACATGGGGGTTTGTGTATCACTGTGGTATGTTTTCAGTTCTTTTGGAATCATATGCACAAGGGGAATAGTTGGTTTGAATGGGACCTCCAATCCTAACTTTTTCAGGAATCTCCATACTGTTTTCCATAGTGGTTGTGCCAGTACACTCCCTCCAACCCTCAAAAATTGTTGTGGTTTCCATAAACCTCCTCCAGTGTTTCTTACTGCTAGACTTTTGATGATAGCATTGTTTCTGGGGTGAGATGGAATCTCAGTGTTGTTTTAATTTGCATTTCATGAATGACCAATGATGTTAAACATTTTTTCATATATGTATGTGTGATTAATATTTCTTCATCTGGGAAGAGTATATTCACCCCTGATGCCCATTTTTAGATTGAGTCTTTGAATTTTGGGATCCTGATTTGTTTTTTAAATCTTTAAATTTTCTACAGAGATGTCCTTTGTCTGAGGGACAGTTGGATAAAATTTTTTCCCAGTTTGTAGATTTTCTTTTTACTGTGTTGGTGACTTTCTTTGACATGCAGAAACTTTTTTAAATGATGAGATCCTAATTGTTGATTCTTTGAAATATTACCTTTCCAGTTGAATTTTTGTTCATGAGATCTCTCCTTACTCCATGACTTCAAGATATCCACCTACATTTTCACTCTGAAAAGTGTTTGTTCATCTTGAATGTCCATTTCTGGACTAAGTCTTTAAATTTGTGGACCTTAGTGTTTTTTAGTTCTTTATAAATTCTAGAGAGCAGGTCTTCTCTTGGAGTGCCTGTCATGTTCGTGTTCTGAATATAGGCTGCTTTTCATGACATGACAATTGCTGCTGTGCTTTGTCTCTGGTAGATGACTGTTTACAAATGATGCGGGTGGTGCATGAAAGCAAGAGATGGGAAAAGGAGTTTTGGAGGACTGCCCTGCTACAATGTTGTATATGGTTAGATTTCTGGGCTTATGTGTAAGCATATATAATTCTTTATTCCTATTTTTTAAATATATTTAAATTTTTAAAAATTTTCATCATAATCTGTAGCGAGTTATAATGTAACGTATCAATACTTGATGAAAAATACCTGTTCCATGTTGTGCCTAAGATGTTTGATATTCAGACAGATAATGAGGTTGAGCTCAACAGCCTAGGTTGTATAATAATTACAATAAGCTGCTCTTCAGGAGGGTGAACAACCTAAGTTTGCAGACCAAATATTAGAGAAAATGAGGGCCGCAAGGAAAGCCAACATTTTGGCACTAGCCATCCAAGTTCAATTAAGAGTTAGTACATATGAGAACTTGTACTGTAACATCATGTAACTCAGTTGTGTCCCAACATTTTTGATCAAGGAGATTATGGGGCCACAGAGGAAAGTGATCGATGATGTAGTGTGCCTAAGGAGAGTCATGCGGAGGGAAAACATCCTCTCAGGCTTTCACACAGAGCAAATTGGCCAAGCAATGGCTGTGACTCATCCACATAGCTGACACTGCCAAAGGATCTACAATCTGAGGTACAGGGTTGCAGGATAAATCCTGAGTGGATTTGACTGACCTTATCAGATCCAAAAGCTACAATTCTTGTTACATAGGTCTTGATTTATCTTAGTCTTACCCATCCAGCTGAAAAGTATAAAAACGGAGTACAAGAAGTAAAGCCATGTTGTTATGTTGAGCTGTGGGGGACTCAGGTCAACAACTTCTGACATTGCCCATCAAGCGGGAGACCCAATACTATTATGGACTACTGCACTGTTTTGGAATATTTTGATGAGTTCACATACCTATAGTATTTAAATGACGGAACTAAACAAAAAAAGGAGATACAGATGAATAACCATTTTGTATCTGTGTATTGAAAATGGTTAGGATAGATGTATAGCTACATTCTCTTAAGTCA